CAAAAAAAAAAGTGTCCTGCAGGATTCTGCAGAGACCTGGATGGGAACAAGTGGATTAACTGAATCCCTTGAATTTAATTTTGTCCTTCATGAAAGTTACAGACAACAGTAACTGTAATCATTTGAAAGTTCTAAGTAAACGAAGGTGATCCTAATGGTCTATAATGCAAAGCCTACCCAGTTACTGTCACATTGGCCCATCCACCCATCCATCTATCTATGTATCTATGTATCTATCTATCTAATGTAGAGTGCTCTATTTGCATGTACACCTGCTGCCAGAAGAGGGCATCAGATCCCTTTATAGATGGTTGTGAGCCACCGTGTGTTTGCTGGAAATTGAACTCAGGACCTCTGGAAGAGCGGTGTTCTTAACCTCTGAGCCATCTCTCCAGCCCATATTGTCATTTTTATACCTGTTGCCCAACAAATGGACTCAGTGAACAAAGGAAACTGTTCACTTTAAGGAAAGAGACCTGCAGTGAGGATCTCTTCTTCCACATTCCACCTGCTGGAACATCTGGAGTCTTCTTAAAGGACAGAGAAGGAACAAAGTTTTCCACACCCAAGTTGTGCTCTGAAGAGATGTTACCCAACCCCAGTGCTGTTGTGAGTTTTGAAGCGTGTCCAAGACGTCTTGTGCCTCCCTCCGTCCCCTCCCCTTCCTGCTGTTTTGCAGCCACATCCACTTGGGAGTCCTGTGGCAGGAAGGCATGATTTTATTTACACTGTGTGGGTTCCCTATTCACACAGTGCCTGTATCTAGCCTGCAACTCCAGGGATCAGGTAAGTGCACTAAAGGATTTTTTTTCACATTCAGCTGAAGGCAACCTGGGTTCTGAGGTAGCCAGGTGTGGTGTATATAAAGCTCTGGGTAAGGGCGGAGGTAATCTGCTTCTAATTTTTTTTTTCCTGAAGAACAAACCAGGTGTGGTAGTTCATACTTGATATGTCCCACTGGAGAGGCCGACACAGCAGGCTTGGACTACAGAGTAAATTCCAGGCCAGACAGCCTGTCCCACACTATGAGACTGTCTCAAACACACACACACACACACACACACACACACACACACACACACGGGTGCTGGAGAGAGGCTAAGCAAGAGAGAAAAGCAAAGTATTTTATTTGCTAGAATTCTGCAATACTGGCTGTGAGGAGGCGTAAAAAACAGGATAAGGCACAAGAATAACAGACCTTTCTAGAGAAACGTATAGGTTATCAGCTACACATTTTAAATGAGTCTGTTTTAATAGTTACGGCTGTGCTAATCCATACAGTCTATAAAAAACAATATATGTTGAGGAAAAGATGCATACTTTGACACTGTATCAAATACATAGGGGAAATAAATACTTCCACACTTAGTGTGGAAGGATGTCATCCCTCATGAGCCTCAGAAAAGACTTCCCAAGCTCCGCTCGCCTGGTGCAGTGCAGCTGCCATCCCAGTACCCCGAATGCTGGGGCAGAAGGACAGTGAGCTCTAAGCTGCCCGAGCTGCATAGAAAAACCCAGTCTTGAAAAAGTAAGATTCCGGTTCCTCTAGTTTCTGTTAAATGTCAGTGTTTGGGAGCTGAGTAAGGGTTCTGAAGTGTTTTGGGGGACGTAAGGAACGGGAGATGTTTGGTAATAGTCTTACCCTTGACTGTGAACAGGAGAACATTAATCAGAAGAGGCATCAAAAGTGGCTTAAAGATAAAAAGAAAAGCGCGAGTGTGTGGGAGCCAGGAGAGGGCGTCATATCATCAGCTACAGTCGGTTGTGAGCAGCCAAGGGGGTACTTGGGGGCTTAACACAGGTCCTGTTGGAAGATCAGGCTCTTGATCATTGAGCCCCCTGACCCCCAAGCAGCTTTTCCTGGGAGGGAGGGAAATGAGGGGGTCACTGGTAAAGCACAGAAGGACCTAGAATCTACCAGTAGCTTCTGAGTGCAGCAGCAGAATTGCTGTGGAGAACTCATGGATTTGGCTCTAAGAAAACTCAACTTCCTCAAGTGGACTGAGCTTCTGACTGAGAGGGAAACACCTGGTTTCCTCTTCTAGAAACAACTGCCCCCACCCCCTACCCCCCAAAAAACAGGGTTTCTCTGTGTAGCCTTGGCTGTCCTGGACTCACTTTGTAGACCAGGCTAGCTTCAAACTCACATAGATCGCCTGCCTCTGCCTCCTCTGTTGGGATGAAAGGCGTATGTCAACACATTCTGTAGCCCGTTACACTCAGCAGCTTCCACCAGAGAGCAGCACAGTCTTTTGGATGGCAGTGTCTAGCTACAAAGGTGGCAGGAGAGCTGGCCCGGAGGCTAAGAGCACGAGGAGGAGAAGACTTCAGTTCTCAACACACACACAATTAAAATAATAATAATAAAATAGCTACAAATGTGTAACTAGCACTACAAAAACATTCCCTCTTGCCCACAGGAAAGCCTCTTGCCAACTCACCATTTTATACATTAACATGTTTGATTATTTCTAGTTTTTTTTTAAATGATATACATACATTAATGTCTTCATAGTATTCCTGATATTTTTGTCTTTCTAAAAGTCATTTTAAATTTCTTTAAACCTTTATTCTTGTTGTATGAGTGCGTGGATGTGACTGTTGTGTGGATTACCTCGGAGGCCAAAAAGGCGGCCTACATCCAAGTTATAGGCAGCTGTGAGCTCTCCACTGTGGGTACAGAGAGCTGAACTCTAGACCTCTGCAAGAGCAGCAAGTGAACCTGTCTGCTGAGCCATCCCTCCAGCCCTCATTTTAGTTCTTTTTGTTTGGCTGGGTCTTTTGAGACAGGGTCTCATCTGTACCTGTGCTGATCTTGAACTCAGCATCCTTCTGCTTTCATGCGTCTTTTACATACTTCACTGACCATCATAAACTTTTCCACCCCCTAAGTCTATTCTTAGGCATTACATAACGTGCCCTTTTCCACCTTAGCAGATAATGCTGCAGTTACCTTTGGCACACCAATCTTTGCTTTATTATGAATAGTTTTAGAGATGGCACAACTGGGTTCAAGGGACAGACACCGTGTCTTTTGCCTTTGCAAAGGCTTATGGTCATCCACATTGCTGTCCGTGGTACATAAGATCTGGGGTCTGGTGGCTTGCATTAATATGTGTTCTTCTTTGGTTGTGGGGGTGGAGATTTTGTTCTTTAAATCTTAAAAGAGCAGCCACCCCATAGTCCAGGCATTGAACCATCATGGCTCGCTCTGCTGCTTCATATTCAATCATGGGGACTGGGGGATGTAACGCTGAAAAGTCAGTCCGGTGAGGATTTGGGGCCTAAGACCTTGTACCAGATGCAGAACGCCTGGTAGACAGGCCCTGGGGGAGAGATGCTGTGGCATTTGGCACACTCGCGTGGATCCTCAGCCTGATCTGGAATCCCACTCATCCATATTTCACAGGCTCAAATCCTGCAGGGGCTTGCACGCCCATCCTGTTGTGAGGTAGTTTGCAGACAAATCTCACCTTGTCTCAACCTGTTCTGTGCTCAGGAATAAGCCACAACAACAAGCTCAATTTGTTTTTTTGTTTTGTTTTGTTTTGTTTGTTTCATGGCACTGGGGGTTAAAGCCAAGGACTCTTTGAGACCCAAGTGCTCCAGTGTTGAGCTGTAGCCACAGTCCAAATGTAGATGTTTGGTTCATGGCTGCTAATACCACATCATTTTTGGTATGTGTGTATGGTGCTGGTACGGAGCTCGGGTCCTCATAACTTGATGATAAAGTGGACCAGGGCCCAAGTTCCAACAGTGCGAGGCAGTGTTTCTACAACAGACTCACATCCTCCTCTTTAACACTTTCTTATTTTTATTGTGATAACATAGATAGATAAATTCAAACTTAGTGGCTGAGCCATTTTAAGAGTAGCAATCAATACATTCCCATCATCTGCAACCATCACCATCATCAGCTGCAGAAGTTTCATCTTTCATTTAAAAGCATCGATGCCTCCCCGCCTTCAGCTCCTTGCTCCTGCCATATTGCTTTCTCCATGGGCTGATCACTTTGCATACATCAGATAAGCAGTCCCACCAGATTTTTTTTTCAGTCCCAGATTGTCACCACCTAATGTCCCCAAGGTTCACCCATGTTGTACCGTGGACCAGTATTCTCTGCCTTTCTGGGGCCAAATGCCACTCCACTGTATTTATGTACTAGAAATCCTATAAGCATTCATCCACTGATGGCCATGTAGGCTTCCCCCATCATGTCCTGTGTGGACATTGCTGCCAGGAACACGGAGCTTGTTCAGGCCCCTCCTTTCAGTTTTTGTTGCTGTTTGTTTGTTTGCTTGCTTGCTTGTTTTTGTTGTTGTTTTTGTTCTATTCCAGGAATAGAATTGCTGACTCGGTTGATAATTCTGTGTGGGCCTTATTATTTTTAGTGCGCCTTTTCAGGTAGATTGTGTTCACATTTGGTCTTTGCATTAGCTCCATGGGATAAGAAAACATTTTACTCTGGCTCAAAAAAAAAAAGTGGCTTGTTCAAATTGCAACAATGAATGGAAGAGTCCTCTGACCTCAGAACCTGGCTACTACATTTACTGACCATTCAAAGCAGTCCCAATCATGTATTACCACCTAAGGACAATGTCCACCCCCCCTTCTTTTCTTGACTTTCTTTTTCTTTTTCTTTCACAACAATAGTGTTGTATAACTGTGTACTGTACTTACCTGGAACTTGTGATTTCTTTCTTAGCTGGGATTACAGGCATATGCCACTGTGCCAGGCTTTATGACAAGGTCCTTCTGCGCCAGCTCTGTCGGCTACCTGGTTTCTGTTTTCCCCTGCCCTGACCATCCGACACAGTGAGATCCAGTGCAGGCCTTGTCAGTGCAGAGAGAAGAGGCCATGCCACTCCCCAAAGACCATGGGCTGTCCCATTGTTGAGATGAGAGGCCACACCCATGCCCAGCAACTATTCCTACACCCGGCAAACGGGCATCTTTCAATTTCTGTCTCCCTCTTTCAGTCTAGACGCTATTGTCTGACCATGAGGATTTGGTGGCTTCTGCTGGTTATGGGTGCATGCGCAAGGAGTGTAAACTCCCAGGACACCTGCAGGCAAGGGCACTCTGGTATCCCTGGGAATCCGGGTCATAATGGCCTGCCCGGAAGAGATGGACGAGATGGCGCCAAGGGTGACAAAGGAGACGCAGGTATTCAACACTTCCAGCCTCTTACTGCCTTCCTTTTTCCCCTTCATCCACTCACTTGGCACTGGGGTATTGTTCCACCTGCCCACTGAGCCCTCACCTGCCAAGGTGCCCTGCAGGCACTTTTTGAAGACCTGCTCTATGCCACATGCTATTACTCTAGGTGCTGAATGGAGGGAAGGACAAGACCAAGAGTACCCTGCCTTTGCAGGCTTCTCCTCCACTAGAGATGACTGTTATCAAGTGTTTCTGCAGCCACGGGACATTTGAGTGGGAGACTGTGAGTGTGATGATGCCTCATTAATATTATGAGGCCAGAGGAGAAATCTGATGGCTAAGCACAGTATAACTCTCATCCACAGAGAAAAGGCGCACATCCATACGGATGCCTACAACCAAAGAAAGCACAGAACCCCACCAATACACACATAACCTATGATAAAAGCTTAATTTCTAAGCTAGGTAAGGAATAGATGATCATTAATAATAAAAACAGGTTAAGTATTATACTTTATTATAATAAAGTGTCATGCATCAGTGCTCTTACAGTTTGAGAAATGTGTTAAGTGAAGTTAGGGATACGTGGCCATCAGCACTGTGAGCATGCATTGGCCAGTCGTCTGATAACTGTGAGAGCGAAGTGACTGCGGAGGGGGCAGCGTATGGCTTCCCACGCTCTGTGACCAGAGGCATATACCACCATATCTGGCTCTGGGTTTATTTGTGAATACATGATGTTTTAATGTTTCTTATCAAATATTTTGTACACATGAAGAGGAGAGATGATTACTAGATAATTCAAGAGCAGTCTCACATATATAATGCCAAATTTGTTTACCTCTCCCTTTGCAAATTGTTCTCCATCTTTCTTGGTTGTTATACCCCCTTCTTTTAAAAAAAAAAAAACTTTTCAATTTTTAGAGATTTGAATTTTTTATTTTATGTGTGTGGATGTTTTGTCTGCATGCATGTTTAGGTACTACATGTGTGTAGTGCCTGAGGAGGCCAGAGAGGGCATTGAATCATCTAGTACAGAGCTACCAACGGTTGGGAGCTGCCATGTGGGATCTGGGGTCAAAGCTGGGTCCTCTGAAGAGTAGCACGTGCTCTTAACTGCTTACTCATCTCTCCAACCTAACTTTCCCTCTCTCTTCCACTTTCTTCTCCTCCTCCTTTGTCTTCCTCCTTGTCCTCCTCTTCTTCCTTTCTTTTTCCTCCTTCCTCCTCTCTCCTCCTCCACCTTCTTTTTCTTCCTCCTTGTCCTTCTCCTTCTTTCTTTCTCTTCCTCATTCCTTCCTCTCTGTCTCCTTTCTCCTCCTCTTCCTCCTCCTCTTCTTCACAGTGTCTCATGTATTCTAGGCTGTCCTCAAACTTGCTGTGACCCAAGGTTGAACTTGAACTCTTCATCCTCCTGCCTCTATTTCCTCTTGAGTATTAGGATTGCTGGGCATATATCACTATGCCTGGCTCAAAATCAATATCTATCTATCTATCTATCTATCTATCTATCTATCTATCTATCTATCATCTCTTTTTCCCTGTCTCTCTCTCTCCCTTCTCTCCCTCTCTCTGGTGTGTGTGCACGCACATGTGTGAATGCATGCATCATTTTCAGGTATATTCCTCTGTTCTGCTCAGCTTTACAGAGAGCAGGGTCTTTTGCAGAACCTGAAGCTTGCCATGTTGACAAAGCTGGCTGGCTGGCAAATCCTCAGGCTCCCCCTGTTCTTAACCCACGAGTACCTCCACTCCTCCTTACAGGCTTGGACAGCCATGCTTGGCTTTTTACATGGATGCTGGGGACTCAGATTCAGATCATCATTCTTCCTCTTTGTCGTTGAGCTACCTCCCTAGCTCTTTCAAAACAGATTTCTCAAAAGCATGTGTTTTCTGGGCCAGGTATGGTGGCACACACCTGGAATCCCAGCACTCAGGAGGCAGAAGCAATTGGATATCTGTGAGTTCAAGGTCAGCCTGGTCTATATAGGGAGTTCCAGAACAGCCAGATCTACATAATAAATAAACCCTGTCTCAAAAACAAAAAACAAAAATCTCAAAAGCATTTGTTTCTGTATTTTTCCATTATGTATATTCTACTATATATTCTAATATATATGCGTATATATTCAAAGTGCTATTTCTTGGGAGAGCGATGTAACCGTGTTGCTTGGCAGGAAAATCTGTTTATTTTCCTGCTTCAGCACATCCTCTGAAGATGTGCAGTGTGCTTCATACACTCAACATACAGTCCAGTGTTTGTGACACACATCTGTAGTTATTTAGGTAGATGGTCATGCTCTGGCCTGTGTGATCATAAAAGCTTTGAGAACATGCTACAGAATGAGAACTGGGAACTAAGACTGGAAAAAGAGAAGTTGGGGTAGGAAGGCTCAGGCTTTGGGGTAGTGCAGAGAAGAGGAGGCTAGTTTTGGCAGTTCAGTGGGACCTGGAGATGCTTGGGAGCTTCCATAATGCCAGGCATTCTGATGGATGCAAATCAGTCTGTTTCCCTCTCCAATTCAGAGAGCTGAAGGCTATCCCAGATGCTTGTCAACCCCCAACTAGAATGGTAGGGTTGAAATCTTGGGGTCCTGGCTGATTAGGGTGAGACAAAACCTGTGGCCTAGTGAGCTCTTCTGTCACCATAGTCTTGTCATTTCACCTTGTTTACACCATGTGAAGGTGGGACATGGCGACCTCTCCCCAGCTTTAGGACTAGTGTATGGCTAGCAGAACTTCAGTGTCCCATCACAGCTTGTCCAGTGGCATTCACCCTCAGCCTATGGTGCTTTTCCTTCCCCAACAGTCATACCATAGAGTTCCCTGATGTTTCATGGAATCTGGTGTGCCTTCCGTTCCACTCTTTGAATGAGTGGTGGAAAGGGAACAGAATGAGAGATACATCTAGCACTGTAGAGTAATTTTAATTTAGAGCATGGCTGCTCTAGCAAGAGATTATATCCAAAGACTGTCTATGGTCCAGCTGGAATACAAACACGTCTTTAATCCAAGAAACAGGCAAGCAGACCTGAGTTCAAAGCCAGCCTGTAGAGAGCACATTTCAGGTAAAGAAAAGCTTAGGTTCAGGCGTGATGGTACATACCTTTAATCCCAAACAATGCAGGTAAAGTTAGTTTTTTGGGGGGAAGCACCCATGTTTGAAAGTGTTGTTTAATTGAGTGGCAGAAAAAGTGATAAATCAGAGAAGATTTGACAGAATAGGATATGCCCAACTCTCACAAGACGAAAGAGGAAAGGGAAATTACTTAAGGGGCAACACAGAGAGATGAGACAGTTTACCAGGAGAGTTTTACAGAGAAAGAGGTTGGAGGTGGAATGAGGCAGAGAATGAGAAGGAGCCAAAAGTTTAGAAAAGATTGCTGGAATTAGTTTGAAGCAAAGCAGAGCAATTCAGAGGCCGAGAGAAAAGCCATATTGAATTGGTCAGCTGGGAGAGGAGTTTGAGCCAGAACAGCTGAATTGAACCAGCCAGCCCAGAGCTCAGTAAGAACAAGAAAGGGTGAGCTTGTTAAACAGTAAGTCTCAGAGGCTGAAAACATTCTAGGCCTAGGTTAGATTGTATGGAGGCTAGAAGCTCCCAGGACTAGGCCTAGGCTAGCAGACAGATGCAGTAAGTCTTCAAGACAATTAAAACAGGTGAATAAAAGTTCCTTTTACATAGCACTTCCCATCTTCAGCTCACTTCCAAATCCTCATTCTGAGACAAAGTTACAGCATAGCCCTCAGTGCCTTAGTTTGCCTTGCCTCATGCTCCTGGGTGCTCAGGAAGTCAGTTACCAACTCATTTTAGAACCTGCTCATCCTACATGATTCAACACCCTGGCAGCTAACAGTTGTTACTGTCAGGATTCAGGAATAACTGTGCATTTGAACACTAGACTCAGATTGATGGAAGTTTATTGAAGGCTCAGCAAAGTTCGACTAATTGGGGACACAGTCTGGATTTGGGAACCAAGACTGTGACCCTGTGCTGTTCTCAGAATGAGTTTTTAAAGGAAAAAGACCATAAGCAAGCAGGAAGAATCAATTCTATTTCAGGTACATTGTGCCTAGGTAGCTGGCCAAAACATTTTAAGCTGATTGGCTGGGATTTAGAGTAGGGGATCTTTGAGACTTTCCAGTTCACGAACATAGCTGGGTATTGTGGTTTTGTTTAAGTAGAACATACATTTATCAACAATTCAAGCAGAACATTCAATAAGTACTGAATTGTAAGTAAAAAGCTATTTTTATATCAGGCATACAGAGCCTGAGAACTTGAACTCAGTTTCACCTTATGATCAAAATGGAGCCTAAAGACAAAATGGCTTCAGTTATGCTAAAGATGAAAGTAGGTCTCAACAGAGGGGCTATAGTTATGCAAAAAGTTAATACAGGCCTCAACACCACCTTTACTGCAGGGTGGAAAAAGAAGTGGGCTTGGGCACTCCAAGACTTCCTGTATCAATCATCCCTGGAGATTTATAGCCAGGACATTGAAATTGGAATCTCAATTCTTGTCTGCTTTCTTCCCTTTCACCTAGGAGAACCAGGACATCCCGGTGGCCCAGGGAAGGATGGAATTCGTGGAGAGAAAGGAGAACCAGGTCAGCAGTGGCTTTGCATTCAGCCATGCACAGCGCTCTGATATGATGCTGAGTTGACATCAGATAGATGTTCAGGGGTACTGTGGACTGACCTGTCTGGTACTCCCAGGATGAGCCACTATTTTAGTCTGGGTTCTCTAAAGGAACAGAATTGGTAGAATGAATGAATATAAACATACACGGGGGGTGGGGAGAGGGAGACAGACAGACACACAGACACACAGTGAGACAGAGAGAGACAGAAGATTACAACCTGTGTTCTGGGTAGTCCAACAATGGCTGTCCAACCGAAAGGCAAAGAATCTGTCATTCAATCCATGAGCCTAGACCTCTCAACAGCCCCAATCTGGTTCTAGAGTCCGGAGGAATTCCTAAAGAGTTGCTGATCTTCAGTCTTTGTTGGAATTATAAGAAGTAGATTCTAACACCAGCAAAGGAATGCCAGCAACAGGATAGATGAATTTGAAGGCAAGCAGGCAAAAAGCAAAAGCTCCCTCCTTCCACCCCCTTTCACAATGGGCTGATGACAGAAGGTGTGGCCCGAACTTAGGGTGGGTCTTTACACCTCAAATGATCCAGTCAAGAAAATCCCTCACAGGTGTGGCCAGCTCTTTAGGTTTTAGTTGGTTCCAGATGCGGTCAAGTTGATTAAGTTCAGCTGCCACAGCCACCAACAGGTTCTCTGTGAGAGCTACAGATTTGCGCAGGGATCAGCACACTTGTTCTAGAAGGGTCTAAGTGGGAATTAGTCTCAGCTTTGTGGGCTGTGATATTCATCTGTGCACCAACAGGCAGCCACAGATGCCATACAAACAAGTGTCATGTTCTGGGGGAGTTGTGGCTGAAAGACTGTGTTTTACATGCTCTTTGCATAGTGTGGAGTTTTTGTTTTCTGGTTCTAGGGATTAAACCTAGAACTTCATGCATGCTAAGCAAATGCTATGCCACAGCTTTCTTTAGAAACACTTATTAACATATATTAGTAGACAACAATGGAGTTCACTGTGACATTTTCACACTTGAACACGATGTTTCAGTCACACTCATTGCATTACCCTCTCTTGGCCAGTCCCATTGCTGCTGCTTGTCCTCTCGTATCTTTTCTGTTTTCTTGTGTGTGTAAACTGATGAGTTCCATTAGAGTATTCATAGGTGCCTGGTGAGGGCACACTCTTATGGCGATCTTACCGACAGCTAACTACTGAAGAGAATGTGTCCCCACCACAGCAAACGCTGACTGCGTGTCATCCACGGGAAGTGTGGGGTCCCATGAGCTCCTTTCTTTTCCATGTGTGCAGGGGGCCAGTCTTGTACAGGTGATCACAGCTTCTGGGAGTTCAAGAGTACAACAGTCATATCATAGCAGAAAGTCAGTGTTCTACAACATTCCTCACTCCCCTCTCTGGCGTTTCCATTCTTTCCATGCCCTCTCTCACCATGTTTTCTGAGTCTTGAAGGAGATGGTGTAGATGTCCCATTTTTGGCTAAGTGTCCAGTTTACTTACTCTCAGTGCCTCTCTTTTTGAACGTCTTGGTTTGAGACAGAGTGTAATCAAGTTGCTGAGGCTGGCCTGGGGCTCACTCTGTAGATCCGGAAAGCTATGAACTTGCTGTCCTCTTTGTCAGCCTCCTGAGTGGCTAAGATGATGGGTCTGTGGCCACCGGACCATGTTGGGATGTTATTTTTGCCCATCTACACATGTAAAATAGTCTTACTTTATGGCTCGTACAAGATCAGGTGGGAGGGCAGATTTGGGTAGCAGGCCACTGGATGCTGACCTCTGACTCAGTGAATGAGCACCAAGGAGGAAGGATCTACTTTGTTCAGTGCATCTGGCCCTATTTCAGGGAGAAAATGTCACTTGAGTGGGGCCCTGGGCTGGAGTTATAGCTCAGTAACCAGTACCTTCCCAGAATGAACTGCAACCTGAAGGGTAGGGAGTAACTGACAGGGAGAGAGATGACTGAAATGTCGGACATGTCTATGAAAATACAGGAGTTCTATAAATTAGATTGCTAATGCCCTAGCTCTATAGATGCAAGAAAAAAATGTGATGGAGGCTCGTAATTTGCTTGTATAATATGTCCACATGTTGGAGAAAGAGTAGTATTTTAGCATGTAAGCCAGGCTCTGTGTTCATAAGCGCTGTTACCTCCCAATACAGGTGGAGGAAGTGAGCCGTGGGGGGTGTTCGTGTAGACTGAGGAAAAGTAGGTGGAAGGGCGGGCCAGGGCTGGATAGCTGACAGGCATGTGGGCCACAATGGATACCGACTTCGGTCCACTCCCCAAGGCGCTGTCACTTCTCTGGGACTGAGGTCCTGTTCTTCAGCACCCTGATCGACCTGCTCCTTCTCTTATGTGCGCTTCTCCCAAGGGTGGTCTTGTTTCTGGGTCGACCTGGATCACTCTGGTGGAACAGCTGTCATTGCTCATAGGAGCCCTGGCACTGACTGAGGAATACTTTTGGAGTCTGGGGTTGTGGCTTAGTTGTTAGTGTGTTTGCTTAGCATGCATGAAGCCCTGGGTTCTATTCCCAGCACTGCATAAAAGGGGAGTGGTCAAATACAGCTACAGTCCCAGAACTCGGGAAGCATGGGGATGGGGGTGGGATTCAAGATCATCCAGTCATTCTTGGCTATCATGATCTCCAAAGTTTAAAAAAAAAAAAAAGTTGTGTGTGCGTGTTTGCATGTGCATATTCCTGCATGGAATTTGGGAGTTTGTGAATGTTCAGACTCTCAGTAGATCTCAAACCTATGCACTACTTTGCTTAATGACAGAAATCCCAGCATTGCTCAGGAGGGAGTATTTCCTCAACCACTTCTTCATTTCCTTCCTCTATTCAGGAGCAGATGGAAGAGTTGAAGCAAAAGGCATCAAAGGTGACCCAGGCTCCAGAGGATCCCCAGGAAAACATGGCCCAAAGGGATCCATTGGCCCTATAGGAGAGCAAGGACTGCCAGGGGAGACTGGCCCTCAGGGGCAGAAGGGGGATAAAGGTGATGTGGGCCCCACTGGTCCAGAAGGACTAAAGGGCAGTACTGGACATTTGGGTCCCAAGGGCTTACCTGGCCCAGTGGGTCCCATTGGCAAACCAGGTCCCAAGGGAGAAGCTGGACCCGTGGGTCCCCAGGGGGAGCCAGGAGTCCGAGGAATAAGAGGCTGGAAAGGTGATCGAGGAGAGAAAGGGAAAGTTGGTGAGGCTCCCATTGTGCCCAAGAGTGCTTTCACCGTGGGGCTCACAGTGATCAGTAAGTTCCCTCCCCCTGATGCACCCATTAAATTTGATAAGATCCTATACAATGAACTGAACCATTACAATGTGGCGACAGGGAAATTCACCTGCCACGTGGCTGGCATCTATTACTTCACCTACCACATCACAGTTTTCTCCAGGAATGTGCAGGTGTCTTTGGTCAAAAATGGGGCAAAAGTCCTGCATACTAAGGATGGTTACATGAGCTCTGAGGACCAGGCCTCTGGTGGCATCGTGCTGGAGCTGAAGCTCGGGGATGAAGTGTGGATGCAGGTGACAGGAGGAGAGAGGTTTAATGGCTTGTTTGCAGACGAGGATGATGACACCACCTTCACCGGCTTCCTTCTGTTCAGCTCTTGACACAGAGGACTCTGCTTACACCTCATAGAGGGCTCTGCTGGTGAATGGGTGGAGCCCACAGGTCTAGCCTGGGGAGTGGGGTGCAACTGGATCCATTCCTCTAATTACTGTGTCAGTCCTAAAATGTGGAAGTGGGGAGTTAAGCCTACAAATTCGGTCATTTGGACACGGTAACAATAAACTAAGAGCCACCAACCACACACCTGTGTTCCGTTAAGGCAAGCAATCAAAGCACTTCCTCTTGGTGTCACTTGACCAGGGGTGAGTCCAGATTTAAATTGTCTAGTTTTGTGCTCCCTGTGTCTTCTGTCTTCCCTCCCTGTCTGTTGTATGAGTTGGAAACAGTGTCTTCCTGAAGGCAGTCTTATGAATCCCTGTCCCCAACAAAGGGCTTTGCCCTCTATTTTATTGAATAGCACAAAAATCATCTTATGGAGGAATGAGGGATACTTTATAGAAATCCTTAACAGAATTTTACAAGGGATTAAGTCACTGGCTTCAACTGTTCCTTCCTGACAGAGACCACAAACTAACACTATTAAGCAGGCAGAGGGAGAGACAGAGAGATTGGACCTGGCTTTTGAAACTTCAAAGTCCACTCGGCAGTGACACATCTCTTCCAACAAGGACTTTCCTAACCGAGGTGGATGGCTTACAACATCAGAATGCACACCTCCTAATCCTTCCCCAACAGTTTTACTAACTGGAGACCAAGCTTTCAAACATGGGAGTCTATGGGCCATCTTCACCATCCTCATTCAAACCACCACAATAATGTATATATATATATATTCATGCTTGTATGTAACTAGGGATCTCTTAAAGATAAAATAAAAAACAAACAAACAAACAGGTGCCCTGTTTGTTGTAATGAAATTTCCTGCTGGAGCTGGAACCCAGGGTTTGTGTGTGCTAGGCATGTGCTCTGCTACAGAGCTTTGTCCTCAGCCTGCTTATTACAATGCATCTAGCACACCACCATCCCTTACCCAGGGCAGCCTTTGCAGGTGTGTTTATAGTGGGAAGAGGGAAGACCTGGCGTCACTTTCTTCCTCTAAGGCCATGTTATGGTTTCTGATATTCGGAGAACGGAAAGGAAAATGAGCTGGGGTTATGGCTGAGTGTGGCATTTCTACAGCACGCTTGGGCTCCATTCTCAGCACTGCAAAATATATTTACTCCACTTAATAACTAACAGCTTTAAGCTGGTGTCAGGGAGACACCCGAGAAGGCTACAGATACTTCATTTCTAAAATTCGGGTATCTCTGCCACTCGATTCAGTGAATAGTTGGACTGAATCCATATTACCTTTCTAGGGCTTTAATGACTTAAAACATCAGAATGAACCCTCTCACATTTCTGGAAGCAGAAGTTCAATGTCCACATGTCAGCAAGACTGAGACTAAGTTCCCAAAGAAAGGTCCATCCCTGCCACTTCCAGCTTCTAGTTGCCCCTGGTGTCACCCTTGGCTGTAAGCACATCTCTTCAGGGGTCTCTGCCCGTAACTCTGCGAAGGTTTCCCTCTGTCACTGCACATGTCCAAAATTTTCTCTTCTAAGGAGGAGGATACCAGTCATAGTGGATTCAGGCCCTAACAAATATGATTGGATTTGCAGGTGCCAGAGACTAGTACTTTAACATGTCTTGTAAGGAGATACAGTTCTACCTGCAATAGCCTGCTCTCTAGACTCGCCTCCAAGTTGATGTCCTTTCTATGTCCTATGGGTCAATAGATCCATCCTAACATACTCAGTTTCATCATTATCATTTATATCAAAAATGTCATCATTTAAAAGTCATTGAAATCAGCAACAGGAGAGACTGTTGTATGCTATATCCTGGGTAGAATCTAGGCAGGTGGAAAACTTCAACCAGACAAGTTATTTGCTTCCAGAGTACAGTGGTCGGATAGGCACACAATGACCATGAAAGGGAGAAAGGGGAAGGCACAAAGCGCTCATAAGTGTAAAGCCAGTCTGAAAGCCAGCAAGGAAAATCCTAGTGATTCTCCTGACTCCACCTCCCAAAGGCTGGGGTACCCACACTCCCTTTTTGGTCCATGGGCTCCCCATCTCTATCCACAGCAATCTCTCAAGGAAAAAAATGGAGTTCTTGATATTGAAATCCTTTCTGGGCATGATGGCACCTGCCTGGAATCCCATCACTCAGGATGTTGAGGCAGAACTGCAGCTGGTGGGTTCCAGGCCAGCCTGGGGTACAAAGTGAGATCCTGTCTACAAACCCAGTCAAATACACACAAAACAAAATGTTGAAAATTTTCATTTCTTCCCTATTGGGGCCTATAAAGCAGACAGGATTGCCACCACAGAGGTCACCTTCTGCAGGGTAGATGACTGCACCTTTGAAAGAAAGCTCTGGTCCTGGCAAGACCCGGCACACTGACCCACAGTGGTATGACTGTACTTCTTTTGGAGAAGGCTAGGGCTGTCAAAAGCCTCCCCTAAGCCTCCTCGAGTCTGCACCATCGTTTCTACTCGATTACAATTTCCATTTAACGCCTTCCCTCCCAACCTCTGCCCTTCTTTCATTTCTGGAGACGAATTGACATTTGGGGAGGTCCCCGTCTGTACTCATTTAGATTTAGGGCTTTATGGAGAGAGACTTCCTCATTAAATAGAGGGGCCACGGCTAGGTAATGATGGTGGCGAATCTCCAAGGCAATCAGCTTCCTCAACCTCCAGCTTTTGTCTCCCACCACCTCCCTTCCTCATGGACCGCTCAAGGGACTCAAGATGGGGTCAGGACATATCACACCACAGTCCAGGGCCAACCGACCACCTAAATTTCTTCAAACTGCACAACCCTAAATTAAAGGAGGAAAGCTCTCCAGAGGGTTAAAAAACAAAAACAAACAAACAACAACAACAAAACCGGCCCTCGAGGTGAGAAGAGACTGGATTTTTTTCTTTCCAAGTCCCGCCTCTGCTTTGCAGAGGGTTTTTTCCTCTGTGTGTCTGTTTCCTCAAGTCCAATAAATGCCTTCAACTGCTGATTCTGTCCGCCGCGCTTGAGACTTCACTGCTGTGTGTTGAGCTTCAGATTTTTCCTGCCTTTTTTAGCCCTTGGACTGGCAGAGACAACGAATCCGATCAAGACCCCTAGACGGTATCAATAGTTTCCAAAGTCAAAAGAGTTGACGATACTCTGACAGTTAATTCACGTGGTTACACACGACTATAGCTGACACAGCTGACGTGCGCGCAAAAGTGGGTGTGACTTCAGAACTCTTTTGGAGCAGGAAGGTGCCTTGGATTTCGACTGCATGTGGCTTCTCCTGGGCCTCCTCTGAAAAGCCATGGAGAGCTCCTGTTGAGTTCTCACGTCCGTTCCGGGCACCTGTAAAAGTCCGGATCGACGCCTGACTTCTCCCCGCGCCACAGTTAACACTGTGAGGGAAAGGCAAACCCAGGACGTTTCTTCCTCCAGACACACGAGGGCGCTAGGGAACTTCGGTTGCACAGAAGGCGTCGCGGCGACGCTCTTGCTAACAAGAGTCAACACGCTCAAGTCCCAGCCTGCGCCGGACGCCCACAGGGCGACGCGAGTGTCACGTGCCGCGGCGTGGGCCGCTGTCTTGGAAACGCCGGGCGCGCGCTTCCTCAGAGTGGGAGAACTGGGGCCCGGGAGCATGCTGCTGGCGGCCGGAATGCGGTACGGCCGCAGGCTGTGTGGCCTGGGAGCCGCAGCGGCCTTGCGGGGACCCGCAGGCCCGGGCCACGTCCGGAGGGTCAGCACCAGCTGGTCTCCTGTGGGCGCCGCCTTCAACGTCAAGCCCCAGAGCCGCCAGTGGGACCTGTTCGAGGAGCGCCGGGTGAGCGTGCTGCCCGTGGGTCTGGACAGCGCGGGCTCCGCCTCCCGCCGAAAGAGGACTATGCCAGGACAAGTGATCACCTGGGCGGCGGTCCCACGGGTTTCCCATTCAGCCCTTCCCCTGCTCAAGTTCGCTTTATTTCCCCCCTTCTGGCTTCAGAATTCACATTTGCCTTTGGCTTTGTAATGACACTCTTCCTCTGAAAACTCCACCACACATTACTTGTCCATTTCAGGCTGCTTTAAAACTACCTGTTAAACCAGGCACGGTGGCTCCTGCTTGTGGGACTCTTGATAGGTAGAGGCAAGAGCGTTCAAAGGGCAGTCCTTTTGGCTCCAAACCGAGTTTGAGACCAGCCTGAGATATGTAAGAACCGGTGTTAAAACAGAAAGCAACCACCACAACCCTATTGAGGAAAATCAGACTTCTTTGGAGTTGAATGCTTAGCCTACGAAGTCACCAAACAGAATTGCTTGGCTATTTCCGCTCGGCCTGTGATGGTGTCGGACACTTATAATGAATGATGGCAGGGAAGATTGAGAAGGGTTTGGCCAATGGATCCCTTTCCTTTTGCATTTGCAGATTTTGTTGTAAGGGTTAAGAGTTAGTTCTGTTTTTTAGCTTTATTTTTTGGGGGAGGGGCAGCTTTCTAAATCCCAGATGAGTCTGGGATACAGTTGCATTGCCTTCATGCTGTGAGTATCTCTGTGTTTGACTTTGTATGAAAGTTCTTTCTATATAAAAATATCTCCAAAACCCATAAGGGTAGATGATGCTGGTATTGATGGAATCTGTGTTAGAAGTGCCTATCAGTACTGAGCAGAGAGCTGTGAAAGATAAGCTTGGTTTTGAGTGGATGAAATATAACTGGTTTCAGCCATATTTTAAGCAGTTATTTATTGTCTGTGTGCTGTAGGTGCAGGCCAGAGTATAACTTTTAGGGGTCTGTTGTCTTCTACCTCGTGAAGGTATGGTCTCTCCTGTTTTTGCTACTGGACTGCATACTCGGGTTATCTTACAAGCTTCTGTCTGATCTTTGAACTTCTGGGCTGTTTTCTTACTTCTCTCTTGGAGTATTGCATGCTGTAAAATTAAAAAAGTAAGCTTTTTTTTTTTTTAAATGTTATGTATTTTGGGTGTTTTACCCAAGTGTGTGTGAGTGCGCCACGTGTGTGCAGCGCCCATCGAGGCGAGAAGAGGGTGTCGGATCCCCTGCCACTAAAGTAACAAACAGGTTGTAAACTGTCAGGTGGAGGCTGGGACTAGAACCCAGGTCCTCTGCAAGAGCAGAAGTACTTCTTAGCCACCGAGCCATCTCTCCAACCCCTCCTCCCATATTGTTTTTAATTATGTTTTTGTTTGTCTG